TTCGGCAATTGTTAACCCCCCCTCCCCTTAAGAAGTGGGGGATGCTCATGGCCCAAAACTCCCAAGGGGAAGCGAGAACTACGTCGAGCAACTGGAGGGTCACGGATGAGACATCCCGCAGAACCTCCTCTACAACCAGCTCCCATTCCTCTTGACGACGGAGAAAATTCCGATCCCGGACGGGATGATGAGGAAGCGTGACGCAACTACATTGGGATCCACAGATGGACCAGGAGATGATTGGACCGTGGATCAGCTCCTCAACGACGTCACGGTGTTACCACCTTCGGTAACACCTAGTTTTCGGGAACAACGTCGACTTCATGAACAACAAGATCGCCCAGGGCATGTACAACATGGAGGTGAAAACACAATGATGGTGGATGTTGACCGATCTGAGGGGATCTACTCGGTGGTGATTGAGACATTCCCCGAGGATGAACGCGCGTGGAAAAGGATACTGAAGGATCCATCCAAATTCTTGGCGAAAAGCGTCCAAAAGGGTGTGGAAGTGCTGGTCGAAACTGGACGACCAACAACGGGCGGCAATGCAGGAAGCCAAGAAAGCAGAGCTTGAGTCATGGGTCGCAAAGAAGGTGGTGCAAGCAGCAGCTCCTGACATCACGGAGGACCAAGCCCTGAGAATGCGATGGATCTACACGTTTAAAGCTGCCGGAGACCAACACACCGGAAAGCTCAAGGCCAAGGCGAGGATAGTCATCCTCGGTTTTAGTGACCCGTCCTTGTTGGAACAGGACGCAGCATCGCCATCCCTCACCAGGCTCTCCAAGATGCTCCTCTTGAACATGGCCACAGCGAGCGCTGGAGGGTTCTCTCAGGAGATGTCAAAACCGCGTTCCTTCAAGCGAAGTCACAAGATCGAGCACACCCCTTGCAGGCAAGACCCTTACCAGAACTGGCAGAGGCCATTTGTCTTCCTCCTGATCGCATGGTGGAGTTACTCTGATCCGCCTACGGCCTCACTTCAGCTCCGAGGGAATGGTTCATTGACTTGACCTGGACCATTAAGAAGCTTCGAGGACAACGATGCCACACTGATCCATGCCTATGGCGCATCTACAATGAGGCGAAGGAGATCGTTGGAATCATTGGCATCTTCGTGGACGACCTGTTGTTTGCCGGCGACGAGGAATCGGAGGAGTGGCTGAGTGGATATCTTTTCTTCAAGAACTTCACTCCCACTACGAGTGGTCGCCATGGGAAGCGGACAGCTTCACTCATTGCGGCATCAGAATTACCCAGGACAACGATGACGCAGTCCACTTGGATCATTCGGGCTTTAGCGGCGAACTGTCCCAAATGCAAGGGCGCAAGAAGGGAGAGGATCATCCGATCACGGATCAAGAACTTTCTCAGGCCCGAGCTATTTTAGGTTCGGCTCAATGGAGGGTGACTCAAACCGCACCTCACCACGCTGCCAAACTGAGCCTGCTGCAGTCCTCGTTGAGCACCAGGGAGCCGCATCTAATCGAGCAAGTGAACAAGTTGGTCCGGGAGATCCACGCGAACAGGTTCGTCAGCGTGAAAGTTCAGCAGCTAAACCCCCAGCATCCGGCTGAGCTATGCTTCATTGGGTTCAGCGACGCGGCCCTGGCAAATCGGCCAGGCGGTGGCTCTACTGGTGGCTATGTGCTAGGGCTGACTCATGCCAATGACCTCTCCAAGGGAAACCAAGGGTGAAGGAGCCATCAATTTGGTGAGCTGGAGATCCTCGAAGCTGCACCGAATTGCCCGGTCGAGCTTGGCAGCAGAGGCTCAAGCCTTGTCGGAGCTTGAGCAAGAAGCAATGTTTGCACGGCTTACTTACTTGGTTCGAGCTTTTGGGTGGAACCGTCGACCCCCAGAATACAGCCAGTGCAGTCAGGACCATTCCTGCCACCCTTGTCGTCGATGCCAAGGCAATGTTTGATGACTCTAGAGAAAGGGGAAATTGCTTCCAGTGCGTACTCTATGAGAGACAATACAGCGTTGGAGCTCATGAGCGTTTCCCAACATTTCGTGGAGCAAGCTACAATGCTTCAGTGGTGCGACAGCGACCATCAGGCCGCTGACGGCATGACAAAGTCCCAGAAGCAAGATGCGGTGCGCAAATTGGTAGCAACCGGAAGATGGCGCTTTAGATTGGATGGTGCTTTTATTTCGGCCAAGAAGAGAAAGGCCATGCATCGCCAAGGGCTGTGAAACGACAACTCTTGTGAGCTTCTGGCAACCCTTTTTGGGGGTGTGTCAGCTTAATTTCCTTTTCCGGTTTTGCCTTCAGCTCATGAGCTTGTCACGAGAACATGCATGTGGGCAAGAGTGCAGCCGCATATGCTGCGGCCGATCTGTCTCGAGGTGCACCTTCAGCCTTTCTTTCACTCAATTGTAGGCTTACGGGTCTTTCGAATCCCTTAGGCCTTAGGGGAAAAGCTTGGCTTCTTGGAGGCCACCTCGGAAGGTCGGTACGACCTACAGAAGCGACCGAAACGGCGCGAGGAAAAACTTCATCTGGTGCTACGATCTTTTGCACGCTGTCTTGAGAGGGCGAGGAAGCTGCCTAGTTCTGATATTCCTTGGCTATATGCGCACGTGCGAGTGCTGCGCCGGCAGTGCACCCTGCTGACTTGCGGGGGGCTCCATCAGAAGTCAAGGGGGAGACAAGTGTAGTGTCAACTGCAAGCTGCGCGCCCCCTTCAGAGCGCAAGCCCGTTAGCAATGGAACTTCGATGCGGCGCTCATGCTGCCGGGCGGCATCGGCAGATGCGGGCAGCAGCGCGCGGTTGAGGGCTCGCCCCTGGCCTGACCGGGGGCATGCTGCGAGGTCGAGAACGCCACCGTTCTCGCAAAGCACGGTGTGCGGTGCAATGAAGGAGAGCACTGTGCAAGAGTGCCTGCATGACTCGTGACGGGCACTGCGCCCATCGCAGAAAGGGTGATGGCCACAGCGGGCCGATCTCCAGTAGCAAACATGAGTTGGAGACACGTGCCGACCAGACACCACCGGGTGCAAACTGGGGTGCGGCTGCCATTGGGCAGAATCGTGTACGATGCCGCGGACTGCTGTTGAGTACCAAGCGTTGGCATGCGAAGCTAAAACAACACGTGCGTGGCGCAACCACCGCCGGATGACAGACTGGTCATCCAGTGCACCATCGGCAGCATCAACATCCCCGGCTACGACGTCTGATCCGAGCTCCTGGGTGGAAAGTTTCGCTCCCAAGCTCACATCGGCTAAGCTCTTGGAGATGAAGCAACAGTTCACCAAGGATTACACCAGTGAAATCCTGTCCCCGAATACAATGCCTTCTCTTCGGCTTATCTCCCTTGCGGCTCACCAGGAATCCAAGAAGGAGTACCGCTGGATCCCATGGAAGCATCGCCTCACGGAAGAACGCGCAGCTGATCTTCAGATCTCTAGGCCCCAAAAACAGCCCCGCTTGGAGGCTTTGGGGATCTCCAACCTCTTGCTCGATGACCCCCCCACCATCGAGGGTCAGTGGAGTTCAACGGCTTCTTGCAGTACACGATGTGGCGCTTGCGATGGTTGGGTCGGCTCATCTTGCTCGCCTCAAGGCCTACAGCAACAAATTCGTGCATCTGTTGTCGCAGCGCTACGACCCTTCTTCTGGTCTTCGTGCACCGGGGATCTTGGAAGCTCAACAGGCTGACTGTAAACTATGGCAACAGATCTTCGCCCTCGTGTCCGACAAAGGCGGGAAGCTGAATGGCGCCCTCTACGACTTCACGGAAATTCGAGGTGAGATGGCGAGCCTCCTCCAAGCTCGTGCGAAGCCACTTCAAATTTCTCGGTGGCCCGACAAAGGCAACAAGGGCAAAGGCTTGGGCAAGTTCCTGGTCGATGCTTGGAAAGGCAAGCCAGGAGCTTCCAAAGGCAAATCCGAAGGCAAGGATAAGGGCCCTTGAAAGGGCAAGGGGGCCTCTAAAGGGTGCTTCGGGCTCCTGGTGATCAATGGCGAAACCAAGCAGCTTTGCATGCAGTGGCAATCAGGAAAGTGTTCCCGTGGTGCCAACTGCGCTTTCATCCACGCTTGTGCCTTTCCGAAGAGTGATGGCACCGCTTGCATGAGTAAGAGTCACAACGCTATCAGTCATGCCAACACGGCCCACTGACCCCCGCAATCGCTTGCTTCCACGCTTGACAGGTTTCACGGGGACTCTGTTCCCCCCGCTTTGGCAGGTCCTGATTCTTCTGCACAGCTAGGGCTTGCTTCTTTTCATGCCGTTTCACCCCGCAGCACAGTAGTCCAGTCACATGAGCTTCACGCTTCCAAGGGAGAGAGTCATCAATCATCACAGGCCTCTCTCACTCCAGCTAGAGTTGTATCACCGGCCATTTTGGCACCGAAAGCTTCATCATCTGCTCCTCATTCGAGCTCGCTTCGTTCTACTCCCGTCTTGGGAGCGGCTGAAGGTGGCATCAACGCCACGCGCTTTTCTCCAGCCGATGGAGAGCTTGCTTCAGGCTTCCCTACCCGGCTTTCCCCCGCTTCCTCAACCCCTGCTGCTCACTCAGCCAGTGCCCCAGGTACCAGCGTTGCTTCTGCTTCCATAGAGCACATTCATGATTACGCGAGTTGCTTGCAGCTTCTTAAGCGTACATCTTGGCCCTAACGGGGTACTGCAGACAGGGCCGTCACCTCAGCGGCCTCAGGGGATTCTGGGTATTGGAACTTCGGCTGTCAAGTGAGCAATCGATCGGCGCTTTCAGTGTCCCTAGCGTTGCCAGAAGTTTGCAAGCAGCTGAACACGTTTCTACAACAGCTGTTTCCAGGTGAGACATGGAATACTATTTGTGTGGTGCATAACATTCTCACATCACCGCATCGTGACTCTGCCAACAGTGCCAATTGTTAATTCGTGCAATCTTTCAGTCAGCTTGGGAGCCTTTACAGGAAGTTCGCTTTGGATCGAATCGGATCAAGGCCCAACGCATCGCTTCATTCCAGCATTGCAGAAGTCCATACCGGGCAAGCTTGTAGTCTCGCACAACTGTCCCATAAAGTTTCCTTCGCACGCTTGGCATCTAACAGAGCCTTTCGTGGGTGATCGTTGGGTCCTGACGGCGTTCACTATGGATAACTGCTCAAACTCCCTCCTTAAGCCTCTAGGGTTCCCCTTCAAGCCCTCGGACGCGCAGGTACTTCCTTCCTCCAGCATCGCCCCGCAGCGGGCCGAGACTCAAGTTGGGGCTTCTCAGAGTTCCAGCGTCAACTGGGGGAAACACTCAGGGTTTGGGTTCAAGCATCACACCTGGAAGCCAGAAGTTTCAACTCCGGCACCATTTCCGCTTGCTTCGGTAAAGAACCTACCCGAGACCCTACCTGATCGGTTTTTCCTGGATTTATGCTCGGGGGTAGAAAAGCCTCTTTCTGCAGCAGTGTCAGCTTTGGGTTTTTCAACGCTTTCCATCGACATACTGCTTGATTCCGAGATGGATTTATTGCAAGACTCCTTCTTTGAGCGTCTGCTGTTCATCTGCGGTTCGGGATCTGTTGGATACTGCGCCGCATCCCCATGCTGTTCTATTAAACATTTCAATTTTCCCTGAACCCCCTTCGGGGCCATAATTCA